CCGAAACAGGTGTGTCACAGTCCAGTGCGTGGTGCGTCGGCACGCCCGTTTCAGACGGAAACCCCGGGCTTGCTTCCCCCCCTCCAATAGAGAAGAAAATCGCAGTGCAAACATGAGGGGGATTGCTGAAGGCAGTAACGTAGCCCCCGGGGAATCTTAGGGTTTATAATATCGACTACGGGGTGGGAAGACGTTCGACAGGCGGCGAGGGCGGGGGGGGGGGGGGGGACGACAGGGGTCTCCGGCGTTTATGTTTTGAGGATCATTTCGGAGGAGTGTGAGTGTAGCACGACGTATGTTTATCTGTACTGGTACAGAGGATGCCCAAAACACACAACTAATTTATCTGCACGCAGGTGCCTGGCAGGTTGCTGGTAGGTTGCAGTTTGCCGCGGCAAAGCGGATGTTGCGAACCAGGGGGAAGGGGGGGAAGGGAGAAAGAAAATATGATGCGGGATTGCAAAGACGACTCGACTTAGCCAACGTACCCTACGGCCTCCTCACCATCCTCCCTCGGCAGACTTGTTGGTACGAAGTGTGATGAGGGAAAACGAGAGAAAATCTGGAGGGCTCATCGACAGCCCAACCCGGAAGTTCTCTAAAACTACCGCTTCGAAAAAGCGAAGCGAAGAAGGAAAAATAATAGAGGATTCACGCGTGCTTTGCGAACGTTTTATGGCATATCGAAGAGGTGCTGAACACCAAACTGATGAAACCTACATGTCCAATGTTGTCTCCGAAGACTCTGGCTGCAATCGCACCGTGACGGGGCACGGACATGTTCACATGGAACCGGGTGGACGCTAGTCTGTTCTTGTCGCCTGTGGCAACACGTATTGCGCGTGCCTCATCATGATGGGTAGACTCGAGCCTTGGTATCGCACGAAAAGAAGCGACAAGTCAGACTGGCTTCGAGTAGGCGGCAGGTCGTGGCGTCAACCTCGAGGTCTTCACGAGAAGAGAGCGAAAAACGAGAAAAAAAGGGAGAAAACCGTACAACAGTATTCTGCTGGACAGTAGACCCGGCGACGATAGAGGTACTACTGGAGACAGACTAGTCTATTCCACATCCAACCAACAAGTATCGCAAGTTTGCATGCTAGAAGGACAACTCTTGCCATGCAGGCAGGGATTGTGAATGTGTGTATGTATGCGAACCTTAATCTTATCTTTATCTCGTCCGTGCTCTCTACATCGATCGGGTGTGTGTGCGATCGACCTCGCCGTATCTGCCCTCCTTGCTTATCGTTGTCCAGGACAACAAAACAACACCGTTGTCGTGTCCCGCACCATGCCGCATCATGATAACGACACCGCCTCAAACACAAAAAGTTGACAAGAATATCTTGGCGGATTCGCCCTCTAGGTCGAGGCAAGCTTTGTCGCGTTACTGTCGTGGAATCGAGACTATACTACTACTGTACTGTAGGTCAATCGACATCACCCTTCTCTTCGGTGGCGGTGTCCTCTCTCTCGTACCCATCCTCCTGTAGTTTCGAAGTAGGCAACAAGCAAGACAAGCACTTGCAAGGCCGATGACAAGTCTTGCCAGCCGGCAATCACGCCGGGCCTCGCCTCCGCCACCAACCTCGTTCGGTCGCAAAAGATAAAAGATACAAGATATCATGTTGTATGTATATGGATGGATAGGTGGTTCCGATGACATGCAAGAAGGACCGAGGCGTGTTTGCGGTGACCCCCCCCCGTCCCTCTTGCGGGTGTTATCGTTGTCGTTGTTGTTGTCGTTGTTGTTGTTGTAGTTGTAGTTGTAGTTGTAGTTGATGATGGTGTGGTTGTTGTGTTGTTATCTTCACACCAAAAACCACCGACCTCCGCCCAGCGCCTTCAACTGTCCGTTTTGTGTGTTCTGGTGCAACTGGTGGCAACCAAACATTCGTGCTCGAAATCACGACGTAGACTATGTGTGTTGTTGGATGGATTGACATGATCCTTTCTCCGAATACTGCAACCCGACAGACAGACACAACAATCCTTGCTGTTGTTGTTTTGATTTGATAGTCTACTGTCAGTCTTGTCGCGATTCTGCTGTTCTTCACATTAAATACCCCGTCTTACCCTACTATGGGAATCACCCCGCCTGCCCTAGTCATCATCAAAGGCAAAGGAATCAATCCCACACTCGGATCATGCATCGCACAATATATGTAGCCAGCCCAGGGCTCAACCAAACAAAGACACGTGACAATAAAGAAAAAAAAAAATGCCCGACTGCTGTCCCTGTCCCAGGCGCCTGCACGCCCATCGACCCCTCCGTCCAACCCGCCTCCCCATATGCAACTGCAACCATCACAACGGGGTGAGTGTGCCGCCATACTGCCCATCGCCCATCACCCATTATCCTACCACCACCCATCAGCATTACCCTAGCCAGCTTCGACTCCGGCGAGGCAGCCTGCCTTCTTCGCTTTGTGTGTATCATCGCAACCAACCCCCAATATCCATCCAAAAGATGCGTGCCGATGCGGTATGCCGTGCGGTCTACCGTGGAATTATGTGTACCATACAGTACCATTTTTTTTTTACATGTCGCGAATGCCTACATGATGTTTCAAGGGACGTAAACAAATTCGCAAGAAAAAAAAGAGGGAGTGGGAGTGAGTTCGCCCGCCGCCGCAGCGCAAGAAACCTCCCTACTCAAAACCCTGTATTGTAATCGTTCAAGGGCATGCCACCACCAAAACCACCGCCACCACCATCACCACCATCACCACAGGCAACCGACCCCGCACTACTATTTTCGACGTTTCCACGCCAAATAAAATCCCTTGAGAGGCACTCCACCCTCCTCTCCAAGTGCACCCAGCCTTTCGCTGCTCCGCTCCGTATCATCACGAGCTCCGCAGCAGAATAGTCATGTCCGCGCTCTTCTGGGATGCTACCGTTTTGCTCTCTCTCGCGGGAGAGATGATACCTACCCACTGCGCGGTGCCCCCGGCGAGCCCCTCACTACGGATTAGCACGTTACTTTTTAGCTACTTGTACTAACACTACCACAGGCTCACGTATGTATGTGGCCATATTAACTCTCTACACGCTACCACGGCTCTCAAGCTTTGACACGGTCCGTGGGGCGGCGTCGCCAAGAAAAGAAAGGGAACAAGAACTAAAACAAAACACTCCACCTTGCGTGGGAGAGGTGGGGATGCTTTTCGGAGAGAAAAGACCGGCGCTCATCTCTCCGTTCGTTTGCAAAAACTCCACCACCACCACCACCCATTTTCGGAGGTCTTGCACCCCCCTCGAACCCGTTCGGGCATAAAACAGAAGTGGTACACAGGTATGTAGACATGTAGACAATACAATACCTTCCTGTTTTCATTCCTCCTTCAGAGCTTGCTCGCTGTCGCCCATCCGTCTCAAAATATATATAAGGGCTGACGACATACTTCACCCTGTCGCCGAAAAAGATCCCAGCAATCACTCCCTCCCACGGAAAGAAAGAAAGAAATAAAGAAAGAAAGAAAGAAAGAAAGAAAGAAATAAGGCACCCCGACCCACCCACCCAACAAGCTTGAGTGTAAACAATGAACCATGAATCAATCACCCCACCACGAGTAAAAAAAAAAAAACAGCACCACGCACGTAATAGTAAAGGTGCATGCGCGCAGGCAATGGACGACACAGTCAAAACAACGACAATATATAAAGATAGCACAACAACTTAACCCACACCACAAGTGGATAATCCAGATCCATGCAGCCAAGAGAGAGAACATCTCTTTTGTGGATAGGATACGATAGGATACGATAGGACAGGAAAGGATAGGTGGCATGGATGACGAAAAGCACCTCCACCGCTGGACAATCAATCAATTTTTCGACGGCCCATTCCAACTGGATGGGCGGACACAAGAGACGGAAAATGAGAAAGACCCCACCAACAACACGCTCATTACTTTTACGTGCCTCACACACACAGCAGTAGTCCGATGGACAAGTCAAGCACCACCAGCCTGTCTTCTTGCCAAGCGCGTTGCTCGCTCGAGGAGAACCTACAAAGAAAGTCACTGCGCCTTCCATGAGGCACGTAGGAACACTCAAGGATAACAAGGGGTGAGCGAGCCTATTGCGTTATTGATAAATGGAAGAAAAGAAAAAAGGTAGCTCGGATCAGCTACCATAAAATACTGTACTTGGCTGCATAACGTGCGTACGTGCGTCACGCTTAAAAACCGTCGCTAGGGCGCTCTTTCCGGCGCTCCTTTCATCATGAAAATCTGAGGGAAAAAACATGCACGCTACAGCAGTAGCGGCCAACCCCCATCCAACCACTTGGTGCGGCATCGCGAGAGACTGACTCAACGTTCACCGGACGCTACGCGATTTTCTGGCGACGACTACACCTATCGTTAGAATGGGTCCTATAGAACCAACTGTAGTCCCATGTCGTGGTATGGTATGGTGTGGTAATCTCACGTATGATAACTCCAAGCGAAGGGTCGAAACAAGCCACAGATCACCATACAGAACAAGGGACAACATCATCAATCAATAAATTTTCGTGTGCAGCAATGATGGTGCCGCACGGCACAGCACAGACCCCGGGGGCGAGAAAAGGAGCAGCGAGAGGCAACCCGCCCCATACTATCTTCCAAGGGACAACATCCACCACACCCAGACTCCAACACAAAGAAAGAAAGAAGACAGGCCAAGGACGTGGGCCTTTACTTCAACACGATTGGATCGAACACACAGACAAGGAACCATCTTACGGCTTACGCCCCGCATGGGGCTTTTTCTAATACCAACGCGTACTCTGCTGCCGCCGCAGCAACTGGAGCAGCAACACCCGCGACGACAACGCGCCGTACCATTATTACTCGAGAGGCGTTCGCGGACCACACCCTGCACTCGGGACCTCGCCGCACTGCAAGCACGCACACTCGTTGAACTGACGCAAGTGAATCAACCCCCTTCCAAACACACGTACACCCACACACCCATACATAGCACCGCCCGACTGCCTCCCGCCTTGGGACACGGGCTGCTGGTGCCACCGCAGCTCACAAGCCCCGGGAACATCACCGCAACTCTAGGATTTACCACTCGTGTAAGTAGCATCGCTTTGGCCCGGTTGATGCCGAGCTTGATGCCGAACCTAACTCTAGCGCAGAAACGCGAAGATCGATGGGGACAGACAATCACCAAGAAAAGGTTAAAGAAAACAGGCGAAAAAAAAAAGGGTACCAGACCCCGTTACACCTCGGTCTGCGAACGCCACCCATCGTGTGCAAACCTGCGAGGCCGTGAACGGCCGGCATGGTGAACACCAGCGGCTGGAAACCTGATGTCTGTGTGTCCCCGGCCATGTACCTCCCTCCCTCCCTCCGCCACCGGTACCGTTCAGGCCCTTCCGTGCTAGCCTGGCTAGGCTAGGCCCTGCTCGCTGCCCGTGTCTGCTGAGGGGAGCACAGCGGGCCCGTACCCCACGGGGGCGTTGACTGGGCGAGCATGGACAGAGCAGGCCTGCGGGATGAGGTTGAAAGGGGATACAGCCAGCGAAGCGGAAACACGGAGGGGGGGGGGGGGGGGGTACTCTTATGCTTTGCATGCCTTCCCCGTTAGACCAGTGACTACGCGAAGCAGGCTTGCGGGATGAGGTTGAAAGGGGGTACAGCCCACCAAGTGGTGGCGGGGGGCTAAGTGGCTACGTGCTGCTGCTGCGTTGGGTGAAAAGGTCACCACCCGGCTTTTGATAGTGGGTAGTTGTGTCTCTCTCCAATCAGACCACCAACAAGTAAATTCAATCAACACGGCCCGTTTAGAAAGCGCAGCTGGGTTAACACACTAACGCATCGTTCGGCTCTCAACAGTCTCTTGGTCTTGGAGCAATCGGGCCCTCATGACTCCTCAGTCTAGGCAGCCAGCTGTACGTACACGCCTCCCTCCAACCAAGCAAGAGGTTGCAAGAAACGCGGCTACGGTGGGTTACTCACGAGGACGAGGAGGGGCTAGCGGCCATGGCCGTCACTGCCTTGGCGGGACTGAGCGACAGGCACTTGGAAGGGCTCATCGCGTCCCCGCTTGTCGTCGCCGTCGCCGTCGTGGCCCACATGTCTCCGGGCACCCACGCCTTGCTCAAACCGCCGTTTTCATGAGCAGACCCCTGCCCGGCAGAGCGTAGACCGGCGCCGCCGTGAGGAAGCGGGTCCTGGCTGTGCACGGCCAGGCCGAAGCCGATAGGGTAGACGCCGTTCGGCGAGGAGGAAGCCGCGGGCGAGAAAACGCTACCGGAGGGTGACGTCGACGTTGTTGACGCTGATCCGAGCTCGCGGGACGACGGCCTCATCGCGCGAGAGGCGGCGGGGGGAGCACCGGGCATGGACGGAGAGGTCGAGAACGCCACACGTGCGTCTGGCGCGACGGGATGGGGGAGAGGGTGCGGCGGCGGGGGTCAATGTCAACGAGATGGTGATTTTCCGCTCAAGTGATGGACCCCCGGTGCCACAAAAGGCACGGACGAAAGGTGGCTTGAAAAAATTCCCTACGCAGGGGGCTCTGGTCAGGTTGCTACACTAGGTCGCACTATTAACAGCGATGCCACTGCTTCCTTGACCTCGCCACGAAGGCATCACCTTCAAGGCCAAACACACCAAGCTTGACTCCTCCACACAAAGAGCACAAGCAGTCATCAACGTCTCTACTTTTGCCCCACCAACCACCAGCGCTACCCAGCAGAGAGAGAGAGAGAGAGCACAACCGAGAACTTCTATTTAGGGTATCTGTCCAAAGCACAACACGGTGCTTCACAGCGGGACGCCACCAAGCCAACCCTCCCTACCAAATCTCCTTTCAGCGCTGTTATTCAGCATGCCGCACTATTAATAGCGGGGACAAAGCTCACCTTCCACCGACCCAGCAAACTTCTTGGAGGAGGGACAAAGCCGACCCCCACTGCCGCCGCCGCCGCTGATACCATGGACGCCTCCGTTACGGCCACAGCTGTCTCTACCGCTCATGTCTCCTGAAAAACCCTCGTCGCCCGGCATGACCACGACTCCACCGAGCCCTGCCGCCGCCGTCGCCGCTGTGATGGAGGAAGAATCGAGCGACAACGACCTAGCTGTCGCGGCGTGGGACGCGACCGTTCTGCCGCCGTCTCCGTGGGGACCACGACCACTCTCGGCCATGCCTCTGTTGGTTTCGACGCCCCCGCGGCCGCCGCCGTCGCTCCTCCATCCGCATCCGCGGGGGTTGGTCCGAAACGGCTCCTCCATCATGCTCTGCGTGTCCAAGCCTCCTGCCCCCCCCCAGGTGGGCTCCGGCATGGCCACGAACTCCTCCCCCTCTAGGACCTCCCACCACGCCTCCTCGCCCGCCATCATCATCCTGGTCGCCGCCGCCGTCGCCATTAGGGCGTCGCCGCCGTTCGACGGCAGCGGGCGGGCTTCAGCGGCAGCGGCGGCAGCACGAGGGGGTCCCGTCGCGAACGACACCGAGGAAGCGTCGGAGGAGGAGAAAGCTTCGGAAGGTACGTCGTCGCTCACAACGCTGGACGCCGCCAGCACCGCCGCTGCTGCCGACGCCGACGAGTCGCTCCCGAGACGAACGCCTTCACAGCTCGAGAAGACCCCGGCCGCCACCGCCGCCCCCGCGAGGTCGTACGGCCCGCGGCTAGCGGTGCGCTGCTGGTGGTACCGGTGGTGCTGTAACGTCACTCTGGGAAGGTAGTTGGCGCAGACGCCGGTCTCCACGCCGCCAAGGCCGGCGAAGTCGTTGCTGCTCAGCTCCGGCAGGTGGTCGAGCCCGAAGTCAACGAACACTCCCGCCGCGGGCGCCGGCGCCGGCGCCGTCCCACCCCCGCTCGCGAGGGAGCCGCCGCTCTCGAAGGAGGATCTGGCACCCGCATGCTCCCCGCCCCTCGACGCCGCAGAATCACGGCCAAACCCTAGCCCTCCAGCCGGCCGCAAGGCCTCATGAACGGCCTGAACGCCGGGTGCTGGTTTAGCGACCCTGGCGCTGCTGCTTGGAACTGCGAAGCTTAAGCCTCCGTCCGCTACGCTATCCCGCACTTCAGGCGTGTCCCCTGCGTCCCCCAGCAGGATGCTGCGCAGCTCCGCCCGCCCGGTGTCCACGCCCGCCCCCAAGCTCGCGCCCCCCGCCCCACCGCTCGTCTCCCCGAAGGACCCGCCGTCCATCAGGAAAGACCCGTCCATCCGGGTATCCCCGCGAAAGCTGATATCTACCGCCACCCTGCCGCCGCCCCCGCCGGCGGCGGCGGCTGTCTCCACGACGGGCAGCATGCCTCCGCCACGAGAGACGGGCATAAACGCCTCCTGATGCTGCAAAACGCCGGCGGTTATGGTCGCGGACCCGAGCCCCCTGCTAGCACCCCGCGGCCGCCCGCCGCCGCCGCCGCCGCCACCGCCCGCCCTCGCAGCATCTGACGGGGCGTTGGCGGCCTCGACGCCGTCTCCCCGAGCGATGAACGCTACCGGGGGAGGGGGCACAGACGCCGCCGCCGCTTCCTGCGCTTGGGCCTCGGCGCTCTTTGAATTGCCCCCCCCGGTGGCGTTGCTGTGATTACCGCCGCCGAAAAAGGACCTGCCGAGCTCGGCTTTCTCGTCGCCGTCCGAAGTGGTGCTGTCCCTGTAGCTTCCCCTCCGGCGCGTGCCGCTGGCACGCGCCCGGCTCGCTACCGCGGGTGCAACGGCAGCGTGAGTCTTTGCACCGTTGCCGAAAGCCCCGTGGCGGCCCAGCCCAACGTCTCCCGACATCGCCGTCCGCATGAGAAGGTCTTTACCGCCCGAGGAGGCTTGATTCCTCGCCAGGCCACCGCTGCCGTCAGTAGCAGCGGCAGCGGCAGCGGCCGCCTTCGCTGTTTCGGCTGCTGCGGCGGATTGAGAACCTCCCGCGGCGTTGGAAGAGGCGATGGCGATGCTGGCCTTGGTAGCGCGGCGAGAGCTTCGCGAGACGGTCATGCCGGATAGCATACCCTCGGATCCCCGCGGTTTGTTGCGATTCACCATGCCTGCACACGCAAAGCAAAACAGCGGCGGAGAGCGGCATGCGGCTTCAGAAACGTATCGGCACCCACGACAACATTCTCACTGACTGTTTACTGTGAATGGAAGGGAAGTCAGGCGATATGGGGCTGGGGTTGCAGTGGCAACAACATGCGTCGCCACGGAATTTACATCAAGTGTAGCTTGTCGTGCGAGCGTCCAGATCTCGTCAGGAAAACGTGTCGCGCGCGGCAAACGAAACGGCACCATTGACTACACCAGGACGTACGTATACGCGTACCTTCTGTGCTGTGGGCCGCGCAGTATCCAGGCTTGTCACCCGGGAAGCCAAAGTTGGCCACCGTGAAGCAGCCGTCGTGCTGGCAGCGACGCGCCGTCAGGTTGCGCATACCTGTGATGATCGTGATGATCGCCGCGAGAGAGAGCCGCAACGGCAAGACGCGAGGAGGCAAGACAGCAGAGTGACGCTGTTAGTCGGAGTTGTACATGAGTGATTTACATGAGTCATAGATGAGTCACAGGGGTAGAACGGAGTCGCTTGCAGGCAGCAGGCAAGAGTTTAGCCTCCCCCCCAGCATGTCCGCCACCTTACCCCCTCATCAATAACGCCTTACCGAGACACAAAGAGAGAGAGCACCTCGCCCGGAATAAATTAGACTATGACGCAAATGGACGAACGAACGAACCACTTCTTCTTGTGGGACGAACGGATGAACGAAACCATTTCCAATTGTAGAAGAGAAGAAGAAAAGAAGAAAGGAAGAAAGGAACATAAGTAGAAAATGACAAAAGTAGAAAAGAACAAAGAACAAAAGAAGAAAGGAAGAAAGGAAGACAAGAACAAAAGAACGCACCGTCTTCCTTGTGGTGCGAGCACGACACTGCCACGTCTCCCTCGAACCCGAAAGACGGGCACAGCGTGCACCCCTCCATGTGGCAAAGACGCCTGCCCCTCTTGCCCCCCTTCTTCAGCCGCCGCGTGGGAGAGGAGGGTGCCGACCCCGACCCACTCCCCTTCCACCGCCCCCCCGACGACTTCACCATCGTCTAGTCCCCCCCCTCACCCACCCCCGCCCGTCGGAGTGACGGTCGAGTATTTCTGTAGCGAGGGCGATGCTGGTAGTGGTGCTGTCGTCCGAGACAGCCTCCGAAAATACGGGGGGGGGCGCAGACGAATGGTGAGGGTGCCAGGTTTGCGCCAGGATGGGGATGAAATGGCGTCGGTTTCTTGATCGCTCCTGTCAGCTGGGGGATGGACGGAGGTGTAGGAGCGAGGGGGGCAGAGAGGTTGAGTTTAAGATTGATGTGTGAAGGCGCGTGGTATGTAGCTCTGGCGCTGCGTTGATGCGCAGCAAGGGAAGGGAAAAGGACACGTTGGCTCGTTCGAAGCATCGAAAACCATCTAGATGCCTTGGCCCCTGCCACGCTCCGCGCCATGGGCGATGCAGGAAGGACCGACAGACACCGGAGTTTAACACGCAGGACCTACACACGTGGCGCAAGACATGCAGCTGGAACATGCAAAGACAGTACCGCCCAGTAGGGCACAGCACAACACAACATGAGTTCACTCTAGGGAAAGCCCCTCATTTTCATCCTCATTCTCGAAAATCTCGAAAATAACCTCGAGGCACCCTCCGGTACGGCTGGAAACGGCATCGTTCACTGACCATCCGAAATCCACCAATCAACCACGCATGATCGATTGGCATTGGTTAGACTGATTCGATGTACCTCAATATTTTGCGGGAGGATAGTGAAACAACAGCAGTGGTTCGGTCATCCGCACTCCTTGCTTGCCGGCGCTTGTTCTCTTCAACGGAGCCGCCCACCGGTTCTGTGCATCGGTCGGTCTGGATCTCTCTCTCGTCTACAAAGCCGAAACAATACTATTAGGCCATGAATAGTCTTCGCTGACTATGCAATGGTTTGATTTCGCCTTCTCTAAAAGTTGGTCGTGGGTTCGAAGGCTGAATGAAGACATAGCTAGATTTTATTGCAGCCGAAATAAAAAAACCTAGACTACAGTTGGCGCTATTAAAGCACTTGAGAAATTGGCAGTAAATGAAGAAATCGATATATTGTATTGATATAGCTCCGAAAAACTCAAAATCAAATAATCTTGGACACCTTTGCGAGCTCGGTTTATTTCCCCCTACACAAGAGTGGGCAGACCACCATTCAGGGCAGTATGATACCACTATCCTGTCATAGTTACATTTGGCACTATTGGCACCCCAATAATAAAGGTTTTGCCATTATCGAGGAGAAAAGGCTTTGAGATGCACACTATACCGACAGCTGTTCATCGGATTTCTCACATTGTATACGTTGTACTGCTAGCCTATCTTAACTCTTTGTGGTTCAGCATTTATCTCAAAACGAAACACACAGCAGATTGTTGGATATCCACATGACAAGGCCTCTTCGTCTCGGGCCAGCACGTCAGAAATAACATTTGCTCGTCAACGCGCTAGATAGCGATGTATTTTTGAAAGACAACTTGAGAACAAGTACGCACACGGCAGTAAAGTCACGCAAGCTCCGGCAAGTAGGATGGGTTCAACACAGCGATTCAACACAACAAACACTAAGAAAATCGTTAACAACATCGTAGTACGCGAGAAATCAAGTGGAGTAACCAAGCAGTAAATGTCGAACACCCCCCCACAGGGAGCATCAACCCCAACCGCCGTCACCACAATGCTTCGCGCCTAGAGGGGTTCACACACAGTTGCTGGCGTGATACGTGTGGCGCCCATACTTCTGTGTGTCTGGTTGAATTAATAGCACCGACCTAACCGGCGTACCAATGAAAAGACGTAAGTCTCTGTGCGGTTGAAAACATATATGGTTCTCAAGGGCATGATCTGGGACCCTTCTTGTGAGGGGGCGTCATTGGGGAGGCTACGTTACCCTCCGGATTAAAGACAGAAACGGTACCACAGCAGCAGAGGAAAACTGGAAGTGTTTACCAAGGCTGCTACTTTCCACACACACACACGTGTTCGTTTCGGAGTGCTGTCATATTTCTCCATACATTCACCACAACTTTCGCCAATATGACCACTTTTTTTTCTTGCCACTCCTCTCTAGTCCTGCGGCGTTGGCTTTGTGGCAAGTCTTCTGGCTCAAAGCTCTCTCTCTCCATCATCGGTTCCATCCTGGTTTTATATTCCCTTTCCTTCTTCGACACTAGAAGATGTACCTTCCACACACGACCACCCCTCATTGTCGCCGCCACAACTAAAATCCCATTTTAGACTATTGGTTGTGGTGTGTGTTGGTGTGCAGTGCGCAGGAGGGGTGGGGCTTCGAGTTTCGAATTGCCACGGTTGGGGGTGTGAGATCCCCAAAATACCACTTTAGTAGGGGGCCCCATATAAGGCGCCTGCCCGACATAAGGCCGGTGGCGAAGGGCGGCAGTATATCAGGCACCCCCTATACAAGGCCGGTTATGCCCCCCCGCCTGCCCCCAATAAGGCCGGTCTCCGTAGAAGTGACGCTGATTTCGACAGCGGCAATGCTGAGGCCGCTATCTTTCTGCAGAGGGCTAAGATGGCGATGATTGCAGCGCATGCCGTACATCCCACGCGACAGGCGGACTTGAGGGATTTCCAAAGATGTGACGAGCTCATGGGAGGAGCCACGGTGGCGTTTGCTGTGTCGGTGGTGGTGGTGGTCTGGTCTTTCCCAACGAGGGTTTGTCAGGATTAGACGTCCGTGCCGTTACATGTCATTGTGCCGTTTGAGTCGTTTGTCGGAAGCGTGGCAGGCATGAAGGCATGGTGCTGCTGTCTGTGTGCTGGTCGCTTGTTACTTTGGGGTTGCAAAACAACAAGCAAGGGGTGTACGACAACTTGATGGTCGTTTGCCTACCCGTTTTCGAGTGGGGGCGTGTTGTTGGGCGGAGGTACGAACGCGCGCGTGCGGGCTTGAGCCGTTGAATGCGTTTCGCGCTTGACCTGTTCGCCCTACAGTATGATGTACGTCAGGTGTTCGGCTCTTAGGCTACGTAAATGCGCACGGGCTTGTCTTCGTCTATTTTTCTGCGAAACGTGGGGATCTGCCTGATGTCTGTTCTCTATTCTTCAATACAAAATAGTACTCATGTGTTCTGCCGGAGTTACATTTTCTTACCGGTTGGACATGTATTATACCATATACCTGAGAGACGAAAAAAGGTTGGATGTTCGGCATGAAATGAACGTGATCGCATAGCACCGAGTCAAACTTACGTACAGCACACTTTGTTTGGCGCTTCGTATGGCCTACAAGAAAATCTTCAATAATACCGGTATTGTACCGGTCCAATACAGGGCCGATGCTATGTAAGGCCGGTCTAGTCTCGTCGCACTATGCGGCCTTTGATATCAGCCCCCCTACTGTATTGAGCCCCGTCCTCTTAAGTGGCAAAACGCCACAACAAACATTGGGAGTGTGACAAGAGATTTTTATGCCACTATATCGGCAGCTCCACTACATGTATATCAGCAGTAGCCTCTACTATATCGGGCTGTTTACTTAAGCCCTTGGAAGAACCCCAGCTTTCACCACAACTAAATGTACAGCAATCAGCGCTGTCTAGTCTAGTCGAGTGGTTTGATTTCGGCTTTTTACGGCTCCCGCCTCACTGTCGTGATATGTACTTGCCTCACTGTCGTGGTATCTACTTGCCTCACTGTCGTTATATCTACTTGTCTCACTGTCGTGATACATCTACTTGCCTCACTGTCGTGACATCTACTTGCCTCACTGTCGTGGTATCTACTTGCCTCACTGTCGTTATATCTACTTGTCTCACTGTCGTGATACATCTACTTGCCTCACTGTCGTGACATCTACTTGCCTCACTGTCGTGACATCTACTTGCCTCACTGTCGTGGTATCTACTTGCCTCACTGTCGTTATATCTACTTGTCTCACTGTCGTGATACATCTACTTGCCTCACTGTCGTGACATCTACTTGCCTCACTGTCGTGACATCTACTTGCCTCACTGTCGTGGTATCTACTTGCCTCACTGTCGTTATATCTACTTGTCTCACTGTCGTGATACATCTACTTGCCTCACTGTCGTGACATCTACTTGCCTCACTGTCGTGACATCTACTTGCCTCACTGTCGTGGTATCTACTTGCCTCACTGTCGTTATATCTACTTGTCTCACTGTCGTGATACATCTACTTGCCTCACTGTCGTGACATCTACTTGCCTCACTGTCGTGGTATCTACTTGCCTCACTGTCGTGGTATCTACTTGCCTCTAGTATGCCTCGGGGCCCCTAACGCAACATTGACCGCACGCCTGCGCGCGAGCGTCCAACATCCATGTCTACCATGGGGATGCTGCCAAGGTACCAGAGTTGAACATGCGCATGAGGGACGAAGCCAGCATTTTTCTTCACGGAAAAGTTCACGGAACGGGTCCCAGAAAATAAAATAAAATAAAAGCGCAACGGATTCTCTCCCCGAACGTTGTACCATGTACCGCATCACCCCCCGCCTGGACACGTGAAACAACTACTCGGCTTCATCTGCACACGAAACACTTTCGTGATGAATGATAGAAGAGCCTGTCGCGATTTCCGGCAGCTCTCCTCCCTTCTAATCCCCACGAGAGCATGGTTGTATACTATGTACTTACATTCCGTGCCTAAACGCTACAGCCGTAGTATCTCTCTCGCTATCAAATACGGCGACTCGTCAAAAAGATTCGCATTGCAATAACCACCAGGGGGGCTGCCCACAGCAGCACTAGACGACAAGTAGTTGATCTATCGGGTTCGGTGAGCCCGTGTACCGGAAGCCTGGGCACCTGGCCGCCATGATCAGTTGCATCCTTCCTGATTTGACCCCGCGGCGTTCATCATCCACTTACAAACTGCAAATGCGCAGAAGAGTCTGGGGATGCCAAACCAATTGTCTTGGAAAGAGTGTCGAACGGTCGTTGGGGACTATGTACGTGTAGACTATTCTGTGATATGTGTGTGTATGTATGTATATATGTATATTTGAATTTTCTCGTGACAACGGGTGACCGAACCAACGGCTACTTGTGTTCTATATAGGCGCATCGATGACCTTGGAGACCAGGATATAATTTTATCTATGCGACAGAGAGCCGAAAAATGCTGGTAACGCCATTGATCGAGCGAGTAAAACCTACTTATGACCTTGATCCGTCCTTGCCCTACGAGCATATGGTGTGTGCGTGTGTGCCATGACTTTGTCCGTTGTTGCCTCTTCCTGCTAGGCCACGCTTGGTACTCACTACTTGCCTGCTCTCGTAGAGCCACCGCTTTTCGCCGCTTGATTTTTTCGAGTCAAGCGAAATCTTTCATTGGCTTGGCTACGAGATTGATCGTTGACCTTGTTGACCTTCTTATGATGCAGTTGTGGGCGGCCACCATGCCCTAGACGATGTCTAAACGAGGGCAGCGATCACTGCTGAGCCCGTCCGCAACAAGATACCACGTAAAAAGCTAGAAGTACCAATACATCGGCCCGGATCGTGCGCGTCAATCGCCATGGTCCCCCCCCCCCCCCCTCTCTCTCTCTGCCTCCGACACATGCAAAGAGGGACCAGAACGCGAGTGCACCCATGTTGTTGGGCCGCAAAACGTGTCCAGCGAACAAAATTTGATACCGTGCGGTCGGTCGGTTCTCTCTTAACACAGCAGTCGATAGTGTTGGTGCTGCGATTACGCTGGGTGATGTTCTTGTCGGTGCAACATATGGCGGCATCGCCTCGGGGGTTAATTCAAATCAATTTCCCGTCTCTTTCTCAAGCAGGAATCGACAAAACAGCAGACGACCCAGTCGCGAAGATGCGCCGCGTTCCAAACATGTTGAGGATATTTGACTGCTGTTACGATATGACCACAACAGCAGCTGCCGCCGTCGTTGCGGCAAGGGTATGTACAGCAGGTTTTCTTTCGCAGGATACCCCAACCGACCGGTTTGGAAGTGGATGGCTATGGGGTTCCAAGGTAGGCAAACTTGCAGCACTAGCCACCCATCCTGTCAGCAAACACACACACACACACACAAACACACACACACACACGCTAGCGCGGTCGATGCTAATAACAAAAACACACACAAACATGCTCTTCCTTTTTTTCTTGTGGGTCTCTTAGTTCTCGACTCTCGACGCTGATTCTTTACGAAGAACACTCCGCCTTTAGGTTTAAGCCGCAACCAACCAACACGGGCGACGAGGAGCACACGGCACAGCAAGGCAGCAGGCGGGCAACGCCTCGAGCAAACGGGCATCAACCGGGCGACAACTTTCCAGCAGACCTTCGCGACTAGGAAAGTGCCCGGGAGATGCCACGCGCGCGATGATGTCGGCCCTGGCGCGGCCGCAAGCGCGCGATGTCCCTCGAGGAGGCCCAGATGCACCGCCCGAAACTAATTGCCCGCGCGCAGGTTTTGCCGTTGGATGGTGTAGGTCTGTGCGCGCACGCCCTACCAAGCGAGAGAGAGGGGTGTACCCCGTGGGAGGAGGACAGGGGCGAGGGCCAAAAGCCGGTGGGATTGAGGCGGGGCCACCGTCCGAGCGCCGCCGCGATCCAGGCAGGCGGGTCGGCTGGCCCCGGCTGCTTGAAGAATCACACGGAAATTTTTCACTCACCGATTTTTTCTGCCCGAGAGAGAGCCAGCGAAGGACAAATAAATGGCCGACGGCCTAGATGCAGCAGCAGGTGGATCGATCCGAAAGCCGCACGCTCCGTTGCGAGTTTCCCTCGTGGGTGAGAGGGCTCTGCTGCAACAGCTCTGCCAAGCCGAGAGTGATTGGTGGAGGTCGATCCTGGCGTGATGCTGATGGCACGCAGTCTTTCAGTCACGCCACGCCCAGACAGAGGTGGTCGGTCGGTCGGTGTTCTTGCTTCTTCTGTGGTTCAGTCACGGGCACGGACTCTCTGGAGGGGGTACGCGGGTGCTGCAATAGGGATTGAACTTTAAACAAATGTCCAGTCTGTGTGCCCCCTCCCTATGAACATTCCGCTCGAGTGGGCGCGAGGCGAGGCAGCTGGCAGCGGTACAACCAACTACACATACCGCGGGCAGGTGAGTCGTCCGAAAGGTTCCAGACTAACGGGTTTGGCGTAGTGGGATGTGTCGCTACCTGGTTTGAGCCGGAACGACCGAGCAAGAGAGTAAATTGTGTCCAAGAAATATGATATGTTCCGATGGAAAATCATGATGAGCGCGTGTGCACATGTAAGTAGAAGTAAGAAAAATTAACGAAGTTGAGTCTTCGTAGACCCGAACTCTAAATCCAAGTGATTTGAATGCTGCTCTCTCGTGCGTCTAGAGCACTTTTTCGGCGCCTTAGAGCCCCACGGGGCACATTTCTTCCGGATTTTTCGACAGCCCGCTGCCGCTGCGCAGCGCGGGGTTTTTCCGCGCGCTGAGAGGAGGGCGCGAGGGCGAGCCGCAGCGTGCCGGCGCTCTCTTACGAGTCCGACGCGGCGGGTGTGAGCGCGGCTCCACTCCGTCCACCAATCAATCACGAAGCCTGTTCTTTTCTGACTGCGTTCCAGCGTGCATGGCCGTCAACTCCATCAATCACGCAGGGTCCCTTCGTCCCTTCGGTCGGGTGGAGTCTTCCAGCAGCAGCAGAACGCTTTTTTTCAAAATGACATGTTGTTGCGGTACATGGTGCGCACGGGCATAGAGTGCAGGCGTGTTCAACACGAACGTTCGTGCGCGTGTCACTCAGCACAAGTAAGTCCTTCCTTCACTGGCTAACTGCTGTGCTTCCTGTGTACATACATCTTCATTTGTGCATAAACTTCTTTATTCTTTCTCCGTCACGCAATGCGGCGAGATACAGATTTAGGACAGACAGGATCTTTCTGTAGCGCGCTGCCACTCGTGCCCTTCCCGTCACACTCCTATCTCCTCCGACATCCTCGACACCAACTCCTGAGAGCACGGCCGTCAATGGATCTTCTGAAAACACTTTCTCCACTCAAAAGAAAGATCGAGACAGAAGCGGCAGCCGCCACTGCCGCATCAGCAGCAAAGAAAAAGTCCGGATCCTCGGAGCCCGGCAACCCTTCCTGGCCGTGTGTTGGTTTCGACGGCTGCCCGGACGGCCGTCTTAAGATCGTGCCGAAGAAGGACGGAGGCTTCTTCGTGGTCTGTGACAAGAACGTTCACGGAGACGACACGACGTGCAGCGTCACGCTTTCTCTTTTGAGGGAAAGCACTAAGCACCCGAAAAAGTGCTCTCTGTGCCTGAGGGACGTCGGAGGATCTCCCTCCATCGGCTCGAAGACGGGCAGTAAAACCGGCGACTACGAAGGTGAGTTGCTAAGAATAGAGCACTCCGCATACACTCATCTGTGCGATTGTACCATTTCTTATCGGTGAACCACACTGCTGTATGTGTCATCATTAGATATCCCATTTTTTTTCGACGGTCCAGTAATAAATAAAATTCTGTGCTCACGATCTTCGACATCTCGGAGCCCGTATCTAGATTATACATGTCTGAGATATTTACCTGTTATACATATGAGCTCACATAACGCCTGCATCTAAACGTCCACAAAGTTTTTTTTTCCGTGATGCTTTTACCCAGTGTTGAATCTACTTTTCCTCCTCCACGTGTGATCCCATACGTATACGAGTGTTGTGTGTGTTTTTTTCATCCTGCACGTGCACATAACCCATAAATAATAAATACCACTCAGTCATGTATATATCAATGACGCATACTCTGAAATATACGTTTTTGTGCGACACCTATCGTTTATGCCATCTCCTCTGTAATTTCTTTTTACGTTTCCGTGCAGATTACGCCAACGTCCACGCCGTCGAAATCCACTGCGTCTTGGCAAAGACGTCTGACGGCAGCTTCTCAAGAACGCAACTCCGGCAACCAAGAAGCACATCGGCGTGAGTTGCACTTCATATATATTATCTTCCATTGTGTGTGTGGCGATTCATCTTTGTCGTTAATCATAACTACACGTGCATACTTCTACGCAGATGCCCACGACGTTGCGCCGTCGCCTTTTGTTCTCCACGTGCACTCGCCCAGAAATCGTGCGTTCGCGCCGACGAGAACAACATCGCGGACGACCTTCAGACCGGCTGCACGGGGCTCATCTCCGAGGGTGACCTCGTGATCAAGGACTGGGACCCCCCGCTCCACTCCTACTGCGCCAGGAGGCTCTGGAAGGAGTCCGTCACCCAAACCCTCAAGGCGAAGAAGATCATCAAGGAGATCGGGACCACCGAGGAGGAGGAGGCTGCTCAACCCTCGGGACGGCGGCCGAGCATTG